GTATCTAAACTGGAAAAAAATATATTATTATTTTCTTGTTTTTATAAACTATTTGTTTTTCAATTATTTAATTTATCAAATAGACTGAAAGTTTTTTAAAAGATCAGATATAATGTTATATATTGTTTGGACATAAGATTAATTATAATGTTTTTTGGAGCATGGAGAATAATATAAAAAAAAATGAGTATTAATGATTTAAGATATGTTCAAATCTATCTATATCTATAAACAAAAGTTTGCCTCCCTCATGCCTATGCCACGTCACTAATTAACTTCATCCCGAGCTGACACGTGTGCACAAGGTAAAACGCTGTGTTTGAGTTATTTTAACAGGACATGGGCTTTTTGACTTTTTGGGCCAAGTATTTTCTGGTCCAAGGCCTTATCACTCCATTAATCTGTATTGTCTCTCTCTTCCCACACGCAAAAGTAGGGTTCTTCGTGTATCCATATTGTAGCCGCCATTGATTTTGCTGTGAATCGTTTCTATTTGGCGATTCAGCTTTCCATGTTGAGATGCAACTCCATTAGGCATTGATAATATCATTTACTACTCTCCCACGATCTGTAATCACTCGCTTCTTATCATGTTATAGACGTGGAGGAACGTGTGTATATATAGGTTCGTCTCCATCATCCGAGAATCATTCACAAACATTTCTCACACTACTTAATCGGTTTCTAATGGCTTTGCCTAGGGTTTTTCTCCGACCTGAAGTCTGGCCGTTGCTCCTCCACCGTCGAGATGTGCCTGCTCCGGTTCTGGGAGGCGAGAAATCCAAGACGTGGTGGTGAACTCATGTGGATCGACATGCTTACGGTCGACTTAAATGTAAGAGATCTATGAGATGCGACTTCAGGAGGACTCTGGGATGCGTCTTGGGAGGACTTTCTATGTTGATCGATGTTCATGTCATTTCACCTGCGAGTCATCTCATCTGATATGTTACGAAACCTAGAAGGTAAACCGACATGTTAGTATATTGTAGAAAATTAGTTACGTTTAGAGACAGTTTGTTGTAATTATAAATTTAGTTTAATGGAACAGACCGCTAACATGTATTGCGTTTATAGTCACTGCTGTTATTATTGGCTCTTTCCTGTTTGAATGAACGTAGTGGCTTTCATTGTTATGTTGCCTTTGACTTATCTTCCTTTGATGAGTCATTACTGTGCTTCAGTGTCAATTTGTTGTTTGGGAATGGCTTCTAACTTTAACATTCCATCTCTTCATTTTCATTATGTTCTTGACGCTTTTATGAACTTTAAGCTGATTCTGTATCTCATGTGTATTTATTCGTCTGAAATTGGAATGTAGTCCTTTATTGCATTGGCCTGCAACGAATCTTAATTTACAATATTGAACATACGTTTGTGAATCATTCATACTTTTCTCTGTTAATCCATGCTTCACAATAAGACTTTCTCAAGTAATGAAGTGTCACATTCTTCTTTTTGCAGCTGCATGATTCACAAAGTTAACCATCCATGTTATTAGTACCTATGAGACACGAGTCCTTTACTGAAACATATTGTGGTGGGTAGTTTCCCGACATGCACCCAAACTGGTGTCTGTTTTTCAGTCTTCAGCCCAGGCTTGCGCAACACAGTCGAGCTTCTTTGCTGTTTCCGCAATACCGATTCCTACAAAAAAAACAAAAATCTCTCATTGCAAAATGGATCACCAAGACAATCTTCTAGCTAGGTTGGTGTTTGGTTCATATGAAGGAGTTGTATAAAACATTTGTTTTTGATGCATAACCGTACAATTGCAGTTTTTGCATCATCTTGAGAGATTGTCTTTGAGTTAGAGATGATCACCGTCTAACCTTCTTTGTTTTCTGATCGTGCAGCGATATCCAGCTCTTCGCAATGGAGACTTCATTGGTCACCACGTTTCTATGCGTATTTCATGAAATGGAAACACATTTGTAGTGTTACCATCGTTTAGTAAGAAATGGAAATTACTTACTTTTGTAACAAAAGATAATTATAAATAATAAAACCATTATAAAAATCAAATACAAAACGTAATAAACCAGCAGTCACTAATTATTTTCTCAAAACTAAATAATAGTAATTGTTTTGAATCTTAATCAGTTTAGATATTAAATTTGTCATCTTAATCAATTTAGATGTTATATTTGTCATTTTTAGACCATTAACTGTAATTGTGTTTCAGCATCTCTTATTCAAAAGAGAAATCTGTTACTATATTAATTTGATATTTCTAAAATTAAATTCGATGAGTGAATGTTTACTCGAATCCAAACTGTAGTACATAATATATCTTTTAAACGTGATAATATCTCCAGTCAAAAAAACGAGAGTATTGTATTTGTAGAGTTGTGAATGGATAGAGTCACCGTGGCTCAGCTGGAGGGTTGGGTTTTGGAAATGAGCTGAAGATAGCTTAGAGAAAAACGTCGAAGATGATTGTTTGGGTTACCCATTTGCCATGATTTTTAGGATTTTGTGGGGAAGTGAGTGAAAGTTTGGATAGGATTATTAACAGCACAAAAAGGAATACGATAAAAAAATATACCAAAAAATTGTAAAGTAAATAATAAATTAATATTCTATATTGAATTAAACCAATGTACAAAAATTTTCTTCAAAAGGAAATCAAATAAATATGAAAACAACAATTCTACTCTATAAACTAACAATAATATATGTTTAAAATCTATTCAATTTTCATGATATAGTTTATTTAAAATATATTAAAAGTATGTAGATTTTAAAATAAAATTAAACCAATATTAGATTGTTATAATATAGAGCTAATCTTATAAATAATAGTTTATATCAATTTACTTTGAATATTATCTAAATCAATAGAATTAAAAGAAATTTTATAAGAGAAAAAAGTAACAATAAATTCAGAATCACGTGTATAAGATAGAAAAATAATACATAGTTTATTTATTAAACTTAAATTAATTCATGTTTTATGTATTGAACTTCAAACTATTTTTTGAGTAATTTATTTTAAAATAGTTATTATAAAAGTAGAATAAACATTACAAGGAAAAATAAATCAATCAATTGAAAAATCAAATGTTCTTATTAGACAAATCTGTGGTTTCTAACAAAAATATTTAAAACAATGTAGCGAAACCAAATATTACTTTCCATTGAAAGTAAACTATTATAAAGTGTGAAAATAAAGATGCTTTGTATTGATTTTTCATTTAACGTAAAAAACTTACAAGAGAAAGATTAGGTCTGAAAGTTGGATTCTGTTCTAATAAGAAAGATATATTGGAATTTAATCACTTATAGAAATGTCACTTAGTTATCGTTTTTCATAACATTTTAACATAAAATCTAAGTTTTCTACCTAAAAAGCATTTCACATACATCTTTAAAATTTATACTTCTCAGTTAATTTTATATGAGTTTTTGTATTTCTTCTGATAAATGCACATTTATACTTTATATTTGAACATATCTTAAATCATTAGTTTCATTATCCCAAATAGTTATTTTCATATACCTTCTATTTGAGTTTATATGTTTTTTTGATAAAATGGAAATAAATATGTACTTATTGATTTGATGACAAAATCTAAATCGTATTTGATTGGTATGCATTGGAGAAATATTTTTTTTACGTTTTCTGATAATTTTCTGTAGTGTGATATGGAAAATACGGTCACATTTGTATTTTGTAGTACCAACAAAACTCTCACAACTTATTAGTTTTCGAACCAAGGACAGTTTAGTCTCTTGCTTGTCGTCAAAACTCAAAACTTAAAACCTAATTTACTTTCCTCCAAGAAGGTGGCCCTTCAACTTTCTTCCTCTTCTCTATAGATACATGCATGGCTTCTCATTTCTAGTGTCTCTCTAACTCACACTTTTTTTCTCTCCGTTTATTTATCTCGCAGTCTCCTTCATTTCCTCTCCATCTACACGCACCGCTTCACGTGAAAATGCAGCCGTCCGACGTTTCGGCAACAGTGGCCGAGAAGAAGAAAGAGAATAAGGAGAAGAAGCGGCCAAGTGTATCAGTGTTCAAGCTCTTTTCCTTTGCTGATTCCTATGATTGCGTTCTGATGACTCTTGGATCCATTGGTGCGTGCATTCACGGAGCCTCCGTCCCAGTTTTCTTCATCTTCTTCGGCAAACTCATCAACATAATCGGTCTTGCTTACCTCTTTCCCCAAGAAGCTTCTCACAAAGTCGCCAAGGTGATATCTATATTTCAAATTTTTTTATCCAAAACTTGATGTTAGCTTCAAATCCTTCCATTTTTTTTTTTGACTAAGAATTGTTTTGAAATTGGAATGAATTGATTCGAACATGACGGCCCAAAATTATAGATAATAAATCCAACTTTTTAGAAATGAATACTCCCTTCGTTTCACTTTATTTGTCATTCTAGGTTTTTGCACACAGATTAAGGAAATATTTAATTTTACATATTTTCAAGATAAAAACACAATTACCTATACACCTAACCACTTTTCAATTAATAGAAAAATAGAATATTATATAAAACTAATAAATTTTTTCTCGAAACTCTAAAACGACACTTAATTTGTGACAAAAAAAAATAAGCATATAATGACATATATTCTGAAACGGAGGGAGTATGATTCTTTGGGTTCAATATATGAGATAATATTTTCTCAAAAAAAATATATATATATGAGATAATATCAAATGAATCTTAAATGGAAGATCAAAACTGGTCAAAAGCTAATTCATTTTATTTGGAAATATATCTGTATTTAATATAAATGGATTGTGAAGAAGTAATATTTTTTCAGTATTATTATTATGTTTTAAAAAAATTATTATTATGGTTGCTCCGTTTAATTGTGTTTCCTTGGCTGTGCATGCAGTACTCGTTGGATTTTGTATATCTGAGTGTGGCAATACTCTTCTCATCATGGATAGGTAAAAAAACATGACAAAGAATATACAAAGCAATCACAACAATAATTATTTGAACGTGCACATGAATAAGAATGATAATAAAAAAATGAATGCAAACAGAGGTTGCATGTTGGATGCATACGGGAGAGAGACAAGCGGCAAAGATGAGAAAAGCATATCTTCGGTCTATGTTAAGTCAAGACATAAGCTTATTCGACACCGAATCTTCCACCGGAGAAGTCATCTCCGCCATCACCTCTGACATACTTGTCGTCCAAGACGCTCTATCCGAGAAGGTACGCTAAACCGAAATCAAATTCTCCTTGTACCGGTCTTAATGATCTGATTCAATTTTCTTCTTCTTTGTGTTAATTTAAATACCATTAAACTTCTTTGAAATGATATCACCTTAATCCGGTTAATAGTATATGATAACCGGTATTTTTGTTTCAGGTAGGAAACTTTTTGCACTGCATGAGCCGGTTTATAGCTGGTTTTGCAATCGGATTCGCGAGCGTATGGCAAATAAGTCTCGTGACTCTCTCCATAGTCCCACTCATCGCGGTCGCCGGTGGTATCTACGCTTACGTCAGCACCGGACTCCTCGCCAGTGTCCGTAAATCATACGTCAAAGCCGGCGAGATTGCGGAAGAGGTCGGTAACTTGTACAACAAGAAAACTATATGAAATGTGATTAGTTTTATTTAATAATCATATACTTTGGTGCAAATTCAGGTGATTGCGAATGTGAGGACCGTCCAAGCATTCACGGGAGAAGAAAAGGCGGTGAGATCATACGGAGAAGCACTAAAGAATACTTACACGTACGGGAGAAAAGCCGGTTTAGCTAAAGGACTAGGACTCGGTTCGATGCACTGTGTTCTGTTTCTGTCGTGGGCTTTGCTTGTTTGGTTTACAAGCATCATTGTTCATAAAGGGATTGCTAGTGGTGGCGAGTCTTTCACCACCATGCTCAACGTCGTCATCGCTGGCTTGTAATTTTATATTCTTTTTTTTTTCTGAATAACCCGGTGTATCCTGGCACCCATGGATCCAGACTAGCGGCGAGTGTCCGTATCAGCATACGTTATCGGTCAGATTACACCTCGGTCACCGGACGCTGGGGAGCCTAGATTTTAAATTTTACCCCCCAAGTGGCCAACGGGATTCCATTTAAATTGTTTCTACATTCTCTTAATATTCCTCTGTTTTGGTTTTGTTTAGGTCTCTTGGCCAGGCAGCGCCAGACATCTCCACATTAGTACGAGCACGAGCTGCTGCTTATCCCATCTTTCAGATGATTGAACGTAACAAGGAAGTGAAAACAGGTCGTAAACTCGGGAAAGTAGAAGGAGAGATTTGTTTCAGGGACGTGACTTTCACATACCCGTCACGTCCTGACGTGGTGATCTTTGACAAGCTAAACCTAGTGATCCCTGCTGGGAAAGTCGTCGCTCTTGTTGGAGGAAGCGGGTCTGGTAAAAGCACGGTGATATCTCTAATCGAGCGGTTCTACGAGCCTATCGATGGGGCGGTGTTGCTTGACGGGAACGATATTAGATACCTTGATCTTAAGTGGCTTAGAGGACATATTGGTTTGGTTAATCAAGAGCCTGCTTTGTTTGCAACTACCATTCGTGAGAACATTATGTATGGTAAAGATGAGGCTACTGATGAGGAAATTAACCGCGCAGTAACGCTCTCGGAAGCGGTTTCATTTATCAACAGACTCCCAGATGGTTTGGAAACTCAGGTCTGTCAAAAAAATTGGATAACTTGTAACACAAGAAACAAGTTTAATTAAAGAACACTATACTTTTAATTGTTATTGGTTTTTTACAGGTTGGGGAGAGAGGGATTCAGCTATCAGGTGGGCAGAAACAGAGGATAACGATCTCGAGAGCGATATTGAAGAACCCATCAATACTCTTACTAGACGAAGCAACAAGCGCACTAGATGCAGAGTCAGAGAAAAGCGTGCAAAAAGCTTTGGACAAAGTGATGGTTGGGAGGACGACGGTTGTGGTGGCTCATCGACTCTCCACCGTAAGAAACGCTGATATCATAGCCGTTGTTCACGGAGGAAACATTATTGAATCCGGAAGCCACCACGAACTCATCTCTAACCCGGATGGAGCTTACTCTTCTCTCCTACGTATCCAAGAAGCTGCAAACCCTAACGTAAACCACACTCAAAGCTTACTAGTCAGGTACTAAAACTTTAGTTTAAGCTTCCCAAATCCGGACCAATATATCAAATATAAAAATCAATATTTAAAATATAAAATAGTATTTAATTAGTGCTGATCAACTTCTTAAGTTATATCTCATGATTGTTCGAAAAATTCTTATTAATTAAGTTTCTATTTCTTTCGTTTTTACAGTACAGAACCCTTGCCGGAAAAACCAATAATAAAGACAAACTTGTATTCCATGCATCAACAAGGAAACCAACCAGACATGAGCAGACCGGGAAAAGTAACGTTGGGACGTCTCTACTCTATGATACGTCCTGACTGGAAGTATGGACTGTTTGGGTTGGTTGGTTCCTTAATCGCCGGATCTCAAGTGCCGCTTTTTGCGCTTGGGATTTCGCAGGCTTTAGTTTCTTATTACATGGACTGGGAGACAACACAAAAGGAAGTCAAGAGGATCTCTATTCTCTTCTGTTGTGCATCTGTCATAACCGTCATCTCACACGCCATTGAGCATACCAACTTTGGTATCATGGGTGAACGTCTCACTCTCCGCGTCCGTCAAATGATGTTTTCAGGTATGCAGTGCCAATCTAATGTTATAAGTCAATTTTAAAATTATGTTCTTACACATAGTTTATCCAAAATTATAAAAATACAAAATAACTTAAATTTCATAATACAGTAAAATGCAAATAGTTATCTATTAAAATAGTAAATTTATAACACTGAAAATATAAAGTTTTCATATATTTTTCTTATATTTTCCTACAAAACCATTAAAAAATTATATTGTCAAATATTTGAATTGTAGTTTTGTGTCAATTGATAACATAATTATTACTTTTTCAAGTGGCATTTAGACAAAAAATAATTTTAACAATTTCAGTTTTAACTTTTTTTGAATTTTCTGTGTTTTGATAATAATCATCCTTTTTCAATAAACTAAGTACTTCAATAGAATTTCTAACTTTTTCTATTATTGATTATCAAAAAAATCTATTTTACATAAAAAAATCATCACCAATTATATCTACATGCATATAGTTGTTTAAGAAAATTTCAAGATTTCAAATATGGTGCTCTCAAGGCTTTATAAAAAAATATTTAACAAATATTCTTCTAATTATGAAACTATCAATTTTATTTATCTATATACATTAATAAGAAAATAAACCAAAAATATCCCTCTAAACTGGTTGTCTTAATCGATGGTTCGAGTGGCATTGGCATGTCCTCTAGGCCAGCTCTGGGATACGCACAAACACAAAACTGCTGGATAGCACAACTTCCAAATTATCGTTTTTTTTTAAATTAAGATTAACCTAAAAATGTTTTATGGTCTTCCTAATTGAATCTCAGATCAGGCCATGACTTCTATCATTTAATTGTATAGAAGTCGATTCATCTAATATTTAATTTTTGTTTTTGTACATTTAGCAATCTTGAGGAATGAAATCGGGTGGTTTGATAAAGTGGATAACACTAGCTCGATGTTAGCGTCGCAGCTTGAAAGCGACAGCACTTTGCTTAGAACGATCGTGGTCGATAGATCAACGATTCTATTAGAGAATTTTGGTCTAGTTGTGACATCTTTCATCATTTCTTTTATACTCAACTGGCGTCTCACTCTTGTTGTCTTAGCAACATATCCATTAATCATCAGCGGACATATTAGTGAGGTAAAACGCAGTTTTTTCCCGTTTTCTTTCATAATTAAGCAATTAGGTTTTTAAAATATTATATTGTTGTATTTGTTAGAAACTGTTCATGCAAGGCTATGGAGTAAACTTGAATAAAGCGTATTTAAAGGCTAACAAGTTGGCTGGAGAGGCTATTAGCAACATTCGAACCGTAGCTGCCTTTTGTGCCGAGGACAAGGTTCTTGAACTTTATTCCAATGAGCTTCTAGAACCTTCCGAACGTTCTTTTAGACGTGGACAGACGGCTGGGATTTTGTACGGTGTCTCTCAGTTCTTCATCTTCTCCTCCTACGGTCTTGCCCTCTGGTATTTATATTTCACGCAGAGAAATTATGTAGAGAAGTTTGAAAAAAATATTGATATGTTAGATGTATTTACAGGTACGGATCGGTTTTGATGGGGAAAGGACTATCAAATTTCGAGTCTGTGATGAAAACATTCATGGTTTTGATTGTTACGGCTTTAGTGATGGGTGAAGTGTTGGCTCTAGCCCCTGATATACTTAAGGGAAACCAGATGGTTGCTTCGGTTTTCGAGCTGTTGGACCGAAGAACTCAGGTCGTTGGAGATAAAGGAGACGAGATGAGTAATGTGGAAGGAACTATTGAGCTCAAAGGTGTACATTTCAGCTATCCTTCACGGCCTGATGTGACTATCTTCCGCGATTTTGACCTAACAGTTCCTTGTGGGAAAAGCATGGCGCTTGTGGGACAAAGCGGGTCCGGCAAGAGTTCGGTTCTTTCGCTCATTCTCCGGTTCTATGATCCTACATCTGGAATAATCATGATAGACGGTGAGAGTCGACTCTTAACTTAATTACTTGAGTTACAAGAAACTCAGATCACAAGTATCTTGTAGCACAAGAAATTAAAAAAAAAAATCAAAATTATTACAGGACAAGACATAAAGAAGCTGAAACTTAACTCGCTGCGAAGACACGTCGGTCTAGTTCAACAAGAACCGGCTCTGTTTGCAACAACTATCTACGAGAACATCTTGTACGGTAAAGAAGGAGCTTCGGAATCTGAAGTCATAGAAGCAGCTAAGCTTGCAAACGCTCACGACTTCATCTGCTCTCTCCCGAACGGCTACTCAACACAAGTCGGGGAACGTGGCGTTCAGATGTCAGGTGGACAGAGACAGAGGATCGCTATCGCTAGAGCCGTCCTCAAGAATCCAGCAATTCTGCTACTTGATGAAGCCACAAGCGCCTTGGACGTTGAATCAGAGCGTGTGGTAAGCTTTTTTTTTCTTACTATTAGGGTTTGGATCAAAATTTTCTCACAAAGACTTAACGGGTTTATACTAGGTACAACAAGCATTGGATAGGCTAATGAATAACCGGACCACGGTGATAGTGGCTCACCGGTTGTCAACGATCAAGAACTCAGATATGATAAGTGTGATACAAGAAGGTACGATCATAGAGCAAGGCAGCCACAACAGCCTTATTCAGAACAAGAATGGTCCTTACACTAAACTTATCAATCTTCAGCAGCAGCAAGCATCCTGAATCAATTATAATTGAATTGTTAAGATTCTTCTACAATTTTCTCTTTCGATTGTACTTTCATTCATGATCTTTCATGATGAACTGATCATATTTTTCATATTTATTTTATTGTTGTGAGTTTATGTTATTCCAAATAATGAATATGTTCTATGTCTCGCATCAGTCTTCTAATTTATAGTTTGCTACCTACAAATGGTTGGTTTTCCTCATAAAACATAAAATAAATTATACTGTTCAGAGTTTCAAAAAAAAAAAATTATACTGTTCAAAACCATATTTCTATACTTTTTTAAGTAGTCCATAAAACATAAAAGAAACAATATTTTACAATGTTAGGAGCAACAATCTTAAGTATTTTGATTAACAACTTATTATCTGTTAAAGGGACTTTGCAGCTACTCTACTTCCCAGGAAAAGCTGGTGGTTGTTTAGTTGTTCATTCAATTTGAGAGTATGACACCTAACTTGTAAACCAACGTTTCATCTTCAACCATTTTAATTTGTTATAAAATAAAGAAAATAGTTTTAAAATAAAAAAATTTCCCTAAGTTTTATGCTTCGTCTTTACAGCAAAGAAGACATCTATCAATGGTTTAACAACAAAAAGAGAGTTGTCATTTGTTTTCTCTTTTAATCATAAACAAGACCAAATATTTGGTCTGTACTTGGAAACTTTGAGATCCCTTTTGACTTACTATTCTTTCTTTTGGATAGCCTCTTATCCCCTGACAGTGGTTGTCTCCTCATGTGTGATTATCATCTCATGAACCCAAAACTATGACGAGTTATGACGCTGTAGCAAGGAACTCTTCATCTTTATGACCAAAGCGAAGACTGCGAAGCAAGGTATATGCATCACTGTCACTCCAAAGTACCTGCACAAACATTAGTAAGCGATCACAGTTAAGTGTTTTTTTTTCTATTGAAACTTCTATGCGAGACATACTAAATGTGAGGAGTTTACAAAATGTACCATAAGGGTGCATACGGTGAAGAAAGATCAAGAAATTGATATGGCCACCTGCAAAAACATGCATAACAAAATCTCTCAAAACTCTTAAGACACTGCAGCTTTTCGGTGGAAGAAAGTGTGTACCATAAGTTCTTGAAGGCGTGGATTATCCATTGGTAGGCCACAAAAATGCAGCTCCAAAGTATAAAGTAAGAAATCCGGAACAGAGGGAACCGCTGGAACAGTGATGAAACAAGATTTTTTTTTTCAAGTTCTAAAATCTAAATAAGAAAACGCAGGAGATTCATTGTATCCGCACACTTCTTTATTGAAGACTTACCAATGAATTGAGACATGTGTCACCGAGGAGAAATACAGCGTTGAGAGAATGCATACAAACATCAAGCTGCAATCCAAATAAGATAATGTAAGGGAAAAGTGATCACTGAAAATGAATCCAAATCAGTCTAGAGAATAGGAAACAAACGGTATTACAGCCAGAACTTACCAAACTCAACTTGTAACCATTAGTAAACGGGTAGATAATCACCCAAAACACGATATCTGTTAGCACAACAGCACCAGCACAAGTCTGCCACAACATAAAACTTTGTAAGTCCTTATAAAGATGGCATTGTACACTCTTCAGTCTCTCAAGTCTCAACAAGTTGACTTAGTAGAGAAAAAAAAAGAAGAGACTTACTTGGAACTGAACCTGAAAGACATAAACCCAAAACCCTGCTGCTTCTCGGACTAGTACTTCTGAATGTGAAATGGGAGATTTTGGCGTAGTTCCCGTCCCATCATGGGTTACTGGTGGTCTATAAGTGCCTTGTTCCGCTTCACCTATACTTGTATAACTCTCTGTGTGACCACCAGCATCTTTTTTGTAGATGCAGCATCCATAAATAGATAACAACGAAGCATACTACAAAACAAAAGAGTCACAGATTCAGTGAGTGTATCATAATGTAACCTCAGCATGTAAATTTCAAAGAGAGATATACCCCAAAGTAGACTGTGACAAGAGTAAACGTCCACCTGTTTCAGCAACAAAGTTAGAATCTTTTTCAATCACTTCAAAGAAAGATTTAGAAAAGTGTGAAAAAGTAAGTGAAGAGATTAAAAACTCACTGAGTATAGAAGTAAAATATGCCACCACCATCACGAACAACATTCGAAATGAGTAGAGAGAGCATTGCAACAAATGAGAAGACTCTAAAGGCAAGCAACCAACGAGGATGGACTCTTTTAAAACATGTAGTCCAAGCTTCGTCTTGGAACAATGTCCCTGGTGTTTCTCGTTCTCTTCTTTTGCCTTCGTATCTCCAAATGAGAATCGCTGCTAATACCAATGGAGCTAAGAGGATTAAAGCGCAGAGGAGAACCCTCCAATTCAGCCAGTAACTTGAGGCTGTTGTATCAGTTGCCATGGCACAGTGAACAGAGTCCTAAAGAGTCAAACAAAAAAAGTAAAAAAGGTGAGACCGATTACCGATAACAATCAGAAATACCCACTTCAGTTTTTCTAAATCAAAAACAAAGTAATAACAGAACATAGAGAAGTGAATTCTAAGAACACAAGATTACAAAATACCCTTTTTTTGTTCCGATGATTCAGACAAGACTCTCTACCGCATGCTCTAAAGAAGTGAGAACCGTTCAGAGACCCAACAAGAAAACCAGAAGTAAAAAAAAGCAGAGATCTTTGTCGTTTTTATTATCCTTTTATTAGTTGGTTGATATATGAAGGAAGAGGAAGGTCGAAAATCTTTTTGTCTTCTCATGCGCATATCCTTTTTATTTTATTCGATTGGAATCTCGGAATTTCCCAGACCAATCTCAATTGTTTTGGTTTACATGGCCGGTTATGTTCGGTTTAAGATAAGGGTCCCTTCGTTTTTTTGTTGTTGGTTCTACGTTTACACCATCACTAGGTGTTTTGCCCGCACATGCGGCCTTAATTATATTTTAGTCAATTTAAAATATCATCCAAATAAATGATTATTTGCATCCAAACAATTCAACATAAAACATTAAACTTTTTTACATTGGTAAAATTATTCACAAATTAAAAACAAATCTATGTTTTCCTTTAAAATTTTGAAAAATCTAAAATCTATTTCACTTATTCTTAACTGATAAAAAGTATAGAAATCTATCTTTCAATTTAAAAAATTGAAAGGATAAATATACATTCAAAAATTAATCTTACAAAAAGAATAAAATTAGTTTGGATAATAATACAATATATTTGAATTTATTTTTTGTCAAACACGTATTTTTTTTTCTTTTTGAATAATCTTTTATTTATATAATTAATTCATGTTTAATGTTTAACTATATAAAATATAAACATAAATTGAATTTAACGTGTGAGTTCACAGGAGAAAAATAAATTCACAAATATATATCATTATATTATTTTAATTTGAAAATAATTACGTGTTATACTTTTTCAATTGTCTCTTTTGAATTATATTCAATAAAAAAAATTATTTTATGAATATTTATTTATTTTATATATTTTTGAATTTTTTATCCAAAATATATTTTCCGGATAACACCACAATATATATAAGAGTTATCTTTTTATTTTTAAATATTTTACTTTATGAATATTTATTTATATGTTATCTGTTTTTGAATTTTTTATCAAAAATTTGTTTTCCGGATAACAACACAATATGTATATATAAGCATTATTTTTTATTTTTTAAAAAATATATATTTAGATTATGAATAAGTATTATCATTATTATTAATTTAAATAATTTAGCTAATCAAATAAGTATTAAATTTGTTTTTATTTTTAGCTCATTTATATAAAAACTTCATTAAGGGTAAAATAGATATTAACCGCTCTAACTTTTAACGTGAGAGCTCCGTTGTGAAAAATATAAATTTAAATTTAATTTAACGTGTGAGTTCAGGGAGAAAAATAAATTCACAAATATATATATATATATATATATATATATCATTATATTATATATATATATCATTATACTCCCTCCGTTTCAAATTATATGATGTTTTAGAAGGTTTAAGTTGTTTCAAAATATATGATGTTTTGAAGTTTTAAGGTATCTTTTGAAGTTTTAAGGTTAATTTTAACTTTATTGAAAACTATTCAACCAATAAAATTTTATAATCTTTTTTATAATTGGTTGAATGATTATAATATTATATCTTTTAAAGTGCTTTTTAGAATAATGCAAATTTCTTAATTTTCGTGCATCAACCCAAAACATCATATATTAAGAAACGGATGGAGGATTATATTATATTATTATATTCTATTAATAAATAAGTACGTATTATATTTTTCAATCTTCTCTTTTGAATTATATACAATTAAAAATTTTATTTTATGAATATTTATTTATGTATTTTTTGTTTTTGAATTTTTTTATTAAAAATATATTTTCCGGATAAGAACGCAGTAAATATAGGAATTATCTTTTTTTCTTTTAAATATATATTTATATTATGGATAATTCTTATCATTATTATTAATTTAAATCATTTATCTAATCAAATAAGTATTAAATTCTTTTTTATTTTTAGCTGATTTATATATTTTATTTATTAAGGGTATAATCGATATTAGCCACTACAACTTTTAACATAAGAGCTCCCTTGCGAAAAATCACTTTGCAAATAATAGTATAGATAGCTTGAATGTCACCCCTAATTTGTCCAAGTACTTCTGCTTGTTGCCCAAAATAACTAACAACTTTACTAACATACAAGAATTACTTCTTTTTTTTTTCCACTTATAAATCAGAGTTTCTTTTAATATAAGGCTATGTGCATCAAGAGTTCTTGCGACAAGGCCACACTTTTCCAAAAAAAAAAATATTATAATAATTATTTTTGATGAACTCGGCTCGCAACACTTGCTCCGGATGAATCCGGTTCATGATTGTTTTTCGGATCCCACACCACGTGGCGATCCGCTATTAATCTGTATTTTAAAAAAAAAAATGAAAAAAATGAAAAAAAAAGAAAAATTTAAAATCCTGAATCCCAATGCGGGTTCGATGATGCGCATGGCTTAACACTGGCATATGAATCTTTGACTTGATTTTGTTGCCAAATTTCTAACACTGGATTCTTAGTTTTCTATGGATTTATCTTGATCATTCATTATGTTACATTGTACTTACGCGCGCTTCGTAGAACAAAGCTCAAATGTTTAACTCTGGTATCATATATATTCAAATTAAAATTCAGATTCGGACTGGAATGGTTTAGTCTTTCAGGATCGGTTCTGATATATTGAGGAAGGCTTACATATTTTTTTTCTTACAAATATGGAAACTTATATATATATATATATATATATATATATATATATATATATATATAATTCTAAACTTTTGGAGGATATAAGCCAATGTTTCACTAGTTCTTTATGTCTTTTATCCAAGCGATGGAATCACTTGAAGCAAGAAATAACAGCAAGAAAAGAAAAAGAAAAAAAAAATAACAAAAAAAAAGAAATAACAGCAACGTAAAATAATTCTTGTAAGAGTTTTCAATTACTAGACTGCATCTAAACAAGTAAGCTTAGAAATAGATCACACAATAAAGAAACCTTTTTCACATGATCTACATATAAGCACGACTAATTCATCTTTGCTATCTTTAATAACATAGCCCTTTAAGCTTTTTCTCTCACATATCTAGAAGCCTGAAGCAAAGTCTTTCACTATATCCTTCTCGCAATTCTTGGCGATCTCCGAACATATCCACCTGTTCAAAAGTCATGTAAAAAAAACGGGGAAAAAAAACTCTTGTAAGAATCGTTTGAAACATCATTATGTCTTGATTTTTGGTAGATATATGTTGGTTGAGAAATTAATTTGGAATTTATATTGACGATTAAATCTTACTTAAGAGTGGCCTAGGAGAGACGAAATGCCCATACGTTTCAAAGAAGTCCTTATTTTCCCTTTGGAGTCCTCTCCAAACTGCAAACAAAACGAAAACATTTGTGACTTTCTGTCAATAAATGTGTTACTGTCGATACAAAAGTGACGAACATGAACCAAGAATCTTCACAGTATTCCCTTTTCGTCGAAACTATCTAAAAAGTCATCTTCAAACTAGTTTAACGAACACTAAAAAACAATTTTGATATATAGATAGTTACAAACCAAGGCTATATATCTGTAATGGTTATAAAGACTAACCGGTGAGCGTAACGACCGGTAGAATGTTTGCGTGGTGGTCTAACGCCTTGACGCATTCATCACGAGTCATACGAAGTAGAATGCATCTCTCTATCATATGTTGAACCTAACAAAATTAACCACATGCTGTTCAGGATTATTACACCAGATAAAAAACGCATAAACTATGTATATATAGGTATGTATATATATACGTACCATGTGAATGTATGAATGTGGTTGACAATGGAGACAAGGGAGGTTGTCTTGTGATTGATCATCATGATGATTACACATTTTCTTCTTCCTTTTTTTTGAAGATTGTTCTTCTTCTTGGGGCTCCAATTAATTTGGGACAAATCCAAGAATTCTGGAAGAGAATTATGTGAGTTATAAAAGAAAGATACAAAACATGAAGATATTTTTTCGTGGCAAGATTATGAAGCTTTTTTATACATACACATGCATATACATGCGCTGATACACATGTGGTTATATTGGATAGTGTTATTTAATGAGTTATCCAAGAGAAATCCAAGTGAAGGGCTACAAATAGAGGAGAGGATCCAAAGGATAGATTCTCTATCTGTCACTTTTTCAACTTGATCACAATTTTTTTTTGTTGAAACTAACTTGTCATTTGACTATGACTTCATAGTTCACTTTCCTTTGTTTTCTTCTTACTTTGTGAAATCTATTATCTAACCAATTTTAATTAGGGCTTTTTGTCAGTTCATTCATTCGGGTAATGTGGATTTTAAGACCAAATTATTGGGCGAAAGCTGTTGGGGACTTCTAAACTAATCCAACTGATGTTCGAATATGAACCAAACTCATTCCAAATCTTATTTTCATTTTGTTGTGGTCAGTTCTACGACATTTTATCGTTAGAACATCGAAATATTATAAATAAATAAACAGCGAAATATTATCCTATATGGTTCACAATATTTTTTTTCTTAAAACATATTGCGATATTTATAATTCCTTAGACCGGGACGAATATAGTGCCAAACCTCGATCAGTATTACTATCTGACTAAAAGCATGTCACAAAAATGAATGGTCCCCTCGTAAACGTTTGCCTTTTGATTTGTGTGGCCAACCAATTGCCACTTGAATCATGCATACACGACATGTTTTATGTATAGAGGAACCTTGAAATTTAAACTATGAGGTTCTCCGCAAATTTAGAAGATTATTTTGAAATTTGGTTCTTGTGACTGATCATGATTGTGTGTCAATGGGCCTGTCTATACCTACCAAGTCTCAACTCTTGTGCATTGGCAGTAACTACTCTCTAATGTTACATGAATTGTGTGGCCAACTAAATGCCACTTGAATCGTGCATACACGATAAATTTTGTGTATTGAACTGTGGGGCTCTCCGCAAATTTAGAAGATAAGTGTTTGAGATGTGGTTAGTGTATGTGTGTGTATGAATTCAATGGGCCTTAAATCTATCTACCAAGTCTCAAGTCTTGTGCACTGGCAGGACCGGCTCTCTAGTGTTAAACAATAAGATTTTTTAAGATCCTTCCAAGAACGAACATGATATAGAGCGTTTGATCTTCATAGATCATATATCAGTGTTACTGAGTTAAAATATGAGAAGAAGCGATTCAAACATTTCAAAGGTAAAATGGACAGTGCTATCACAAGAATTAAATAGAGCTAAAATCTTGAATGTGAACAGTTGAACACAGATCCCACATAGGGGAAGATTCTCTTGGAATAGTTGTAAACTTGTAATAATATGGAGATGTTATGTACATATGCAACTCCATAATGATGGGGAGACGTTGTAATACTAGGATTCAGTTTATTACATCATGCAAGAATGATATACTATAGCCGGTCCAGAGCTAGAAAAAAAAAACATAAAATTTTAGAAAATAGTGCACCTATATTTTGACTCTTATAATACGATAGATGCAAGTTAATTGCCGTAACTTTTAATCAGACTAGTTTCTGAAATTAACTGAAAAGATCAAGGTTTCTTACGTTCCTTTAATCTTGGTTGGCTCCGTTCAGTTTCTTTGTTACAAGAAAGGTCAAGAAATGTATTTAAAGCTGAATAGAGAATATCTGTTAACAATGAAAGGAAAGCAAAGGTTACGCACTGGACAGAGTCAAAAGCTAAATTGTATAAGGCATAACAAATCTTTTTTGTTTGAAAATAACAATTCTTCCATCAAATATTAGTTGGATATCGTGTAAAATGCTACCAAAACAATAGTACACATAATAATAAATTGATTGCGTCGGTGTAGTTGCAACCACTAGAAACCTTTAGCTTTTGCTTTTTTCAAACACACATCTAAATGATATTCCCACTAAACGAAGGTTACTTGTACATAACCTAAAGTTAAAACCAGAAATACTACAAACACACAAATTCCGAGTTAGTATTTTACATCAAACCAACCGAGTCATAAATTAATAAAACTTTGTAGTTTGAATTATAAATAACTAGGTGGTTGTCCGTAAATTTGCAGGTAAAAATTATTTTAAAATATATTATAATATTTTTATATTTTTAGTTTTTCAAATTAAATGTGAATTTTTGAGAGACATTTTAACAATAAACAGATTTTAGATATTTTATTTAGTTTGGTTATTTGATTAATTTTTCAAAGTATAAATGTTATTGTTAATATTTCATTACATTTTTATCAACAACTATATATGACTGATTATGATTTTAATCCATAAATAATGTAATTTCATTTTTGAACATTCACATCGAGACCATATATATATGTATATTTATTAACTGGTTTGTAGATCATGTTTTCATCTAAAATTTATTAAAATCTAATTATATGAATGATATTACGAATAAATCCATACTTGAAACTAAAATATATATAAAGAAATAAAAATTATATATATATATGTGAATTCCCATTAGTAGAAATATTATAAGGTTTCTATTTATTAGTTTTCTGCAATCGATGATTTATTGTATCCACTATAAATGTAATATTTTACAAATCATTTATATAATTGTTAATGTAGTATCATATGAATTTTTATATTTAAAATTTACATATTGTAATCTATGACAATCAATTGTGTGGTAATTTAATATTTTAAAATTTATGTTAAATTCATTTAAGATGTTTGATTGTTTATTTGATAACATATATTAGATTATGTAATTTGATGATTCGTTTCCTTTTAAAAACTTGATTTAAATAAATGAAAATTCAAATACAAACAACCAATAAAATTAAGAGAATTTTCTAAACTTCACCTATGAATAACACCTAAGCAAAAAACACTAAAGTGATTTCTCAATTAATATATAGTTAAATATAAAAATAATCTAATCATTTATAAAAGTGATAATGTAACTATAATATCACATTTTCAATTACAATGATTGATTTTTTAAAAACAAAATTATATACTTGACTCTTTTGCATCTATTTGACTTATTTTTATAATATATGTACAATATATTATGAGTAGAAATATTATTAGGTTTTTATTTATTAGTTTTCTATAAGCGATGATTTATTATATCCACTATAAATATAATATTTTAAAAATCATTTATATAATTGTTTATGTAGTATTAAATGTATTTATATCTATATTATAAATTTATATAATGTAATCTATGATTATCAGTTGTTTCAAAACAAATCATGTCAAATTCAATTAAATTTAAGATGTTTGATTGTTTATTTGGTAACATATATTAGATTAGCTAATTTTATGATTTGTTTCCTTTTTAAAACTTGATTTAAATAAATGAAAATTCAAACATAAACAACCAATCAAATTAAAAGAATTAATTATAAATTTGACCTATGAGTGACACCTAAGCACAAATCGTGAACCTCTAGACTCACTAACTAATAAAATTACGTTATTTTATATTCAGTATCTTTTAAAAAAAAATATATATTGTCGAATTATATTATGTTTTAAAAATTTAAAGAAAAAAAGTAGTAGTTGTAAAACAAAAATTTAAAACTTTTAATACTATTATCAAAACACTAAACCATAAATTCTAAACCTTAAAACCCTTATGTAAACTCTAAACCATTGGATAAATCTTTGACTTCTTAAAAATTATTTTTAATATTGTGAGGAAAACACTAAACCCTAATTCCTAAACCATTGGGTAAACTCTAAACCCTTGGATTAATCATAAATCCTCGAGTTTAAGATGAATCCAAGGGTTGGGGATTTACCTAAAGGTTTAGAATTTTTCTGACGGTATTAAAAATATTTTTCTAAAAAAGCTTTTTGTTTGCAACTACTATTATTTTTTATTTTTTTATTTTAAAAACATAATATAACTCGATAATATTTTGTTTCTTTTTTAAAAGATATTGAATATGAAATAATGAAATTATATTAGTTGGTGAACTTAAAGATTCACCTTAGGGGGTGAACTTAAGAATTTCTCCTCAATCAATATATAGTAGGATATATATATGAGGATATATGATATATAAGAATATTTTTATCTTTTTAAAAAGTGATAACTCACCTATAATATCACATTATCATTGCAAATGGAACTTTGAAAAATTATATATTTGATTAGTTTTCATTCATATGGCACAATTTTATAATATATCTTTATAGTGAGTAGATATATAGTGAGTAGAAATATTATTAGGGTTATATTAAGTTTTTTTGCAATCTATGATTTATTGTAACCATTGTAAATATAATATATTTAAATTTATTTTGTATTATCATATGTATCTGAGTAATTCTTAGGTTCACCTCTAGGGCGAACCTCTAAGCACATCAAGCAATAGAATTACATTATTTTATATTTAGTATTTAAAAAAAAAATAAGTATTGTCGAGTTATATTATGCTTTTATAATTTAGAGATAAAAATAAATAAAAAATAATAGTAGTGTCAAAAAATAATTTTAATACTATTATGAAAATGTAAACCCTAAATCCTAAACCTTAAAATCTTTCTATAACCCCTAGACCCTTCGATAAATCCTTGAATTTTTAAAAAATATTTTTAATACAGTCAGCAAAACACTAAACCTTAAATGTTAAACTCTAAACACTTGAGTAAACTCTAAACCATTGGATTAATTATAAATCTCAGGGATTAAGATTAATCCAGGGATTGAGAATTTATCCAATGAGTTAGAGTTTAATGTTTTGCTGACGGTATTCAAAATATTTTTTTTTTTAATTTTGTTTTGTTTGCAATTATTATTATTTTTATTTTTTATTTTTTAATTTTACAAACATAACATAAATTGATAATATTTTGTTTTTTTAAGATACTAAATATGAGATAATGAAATCCTATTGGTTGGTGAACATAAAGGTTCACCCAAAATTTTCTCTATGTATTTATACTACATATATTATAATTTTTATAATGTAATCTATAATACTTAATTGTTTCAATACATAAATTATGTTAATTCGTGAATATTTAAGACTTTAATTGTTTATTTGATAACATAAATTAGATTAGGTAATCATATGATTAGTTTTCTTTTAAAACTTTTAATCAAATAAATAAAAAATCAAATACTAACAACCAATCAAATTAAGAAAATTAATTCTAAATTTCATTTATGAGTGACACATAAAAATTAATAAAATAACCTCTCAATTAATATAAAGTAGAATAAAATAGATTTAGGCTAGCAATACAATATTACGGGATACAAAATTCGAATTTATTACCTAAAGTGATTACTCTAAGTTCCTTGATGAACCAATGGAATCAAGCCTGTCCATTACATATTTTTGATAATAGTTTCGTATTTTAAATTCCCACCGCGTACTTAAAATTCCAGATTTTATATTCAAACATTACGACTGATTATTGCAATATTTTATGATAAGTTATGGCAATTATTTTCGTCCTTAACTTAAAAAAAAAAGACAAAAAATTATTAATTTTTCCTCCGACAAATTTGGCGTGCGATGGTTTAGTCCGGTCCAAGTTTCCAGAAAGTCATACAGTAACTATACCAACTACTAACTAAAGCCTTCTTCTTCCCCGCCAAAACCTTACCCGCCATATTTGCCCAACGACCCGTCGCGTGGGTCCCACTCGTAATTAAAACTGCTCTTTTTCCTCTTTCAAGACTGAGATCACGGCGGACACGTTCTCCCCTTTTGATATCTTCTTCTTCTTCCGTTACCGTCGCATGAATTTGGGTTAAAGTTGAATAAAAATACGTAAATAACCCTATAGATTAGTTGACCATCTCTCTTCTGCTGTCATAATTTCTCCCTCTACTCTGGAATCCGTGTCCTGACTATGAATTTGACGTGAAGTGCTTATTCATTAATGAGACTTATTTTATCTCCATTTTCATGTACATCTCTGCATATTCACACTTACATTTCGCATTACTATGATATTATAGTCAAATGTTGAAATAAAACTGAATTTTCCACATGTAAACATCTTCGTTAAAATATAAAAGTACTAAAATGATTCAATGGTTATGTACTTATATGTGTATTTCATACTTCGATACATTTAAAAAACAACAACTCTTGCTTTCAAACAAAAAAAAACTACTCTGACGTGGTAGTTGATATTCATATGGTCTAATTACTAGATACATGTGAAATCAAGAAATGATGAGGTTTCTAATACAAGTTTTATTGCCAGTTTGCGCTTATATTAATCATGCGGTTTCAATAAGTTATTGCTCTCATACGCCGATCACACAGCTGTGTTTAGATCTAACTTAGCTTGATGACACTAATCATGTTCCATGTTTTTTCACCAACAATTTTAAAAAATATAATCTATCTTGTATTTACTTTTAGTCAAACAAATCCAGAATTTCAATGTATTGTTATGTGTAGAGATATCTAGATGTTTTAAAACGTCTTACTTTTCTAGTCAATAAGAAAAGTAACAAGATAAAGTAAAACAACTTAAATTAGCTAATCTCATTATTGTCATACTTAATCATAACAAAGTGGTTATGAATACTAATTATCATATATGCTTAGTATTTTAAAAACGTTTTTTTAACATTAATCATATACGTTTATAAAAGATGACACGTCAAATAACAAAACTAAAAGAAAATAAAAAAATCAATAATCTAAATTAAATAACCTTTTGTTTTCTTATGGTTATTGGGAGAAACGTATTCAACAAAAAGGCTTAATGGTAATGAATAGATTTTGTTAAAATGAGTCAAACCTACCATCTTTAACCAAAAAGAAGGAAAACTGAAAAGCTGGCCTAACGAGAGAGAGATGGTAACACCACCGGTTCTTGTTTCTTTTGGTGATTTACATTTACATCATCAACCATTTTTTTTTCGTTTTTTTTTTTTTCAAAATTTAAATAAGTAAATATCGAAACCAAACTTCCACCACTTTCTTCATCACTCTGTCCTGCTCCATCGCACCCGCTCTATTACTCGTAATTATCTCCATCATCATTCATTTTTCTTTTGTATTCTTCCCTTCACTTTTCTTTATTCAAAAATATTTTTTTTTTTAAATTATCTTGTGGCTTTAATTTAGTTGGATCTTGTTGTTCTTCTTCTATAAGCCGTTTCATCTCAACAAAGGCATCTTGTTTTCTTAATCAAGATCCCCTCATTCATCGGTTTGTTTCTTTCTTTCTTGATTTTTTTAAACTGTCTTTTATCAGTTTAAAATTTATTGTTCTGGGCTTTTTGATATTGAAAAAAAAAAATTTCAACAAGATTCAAGCTTTTTTGTTATAGAGAAGTCATGATGATGATTTTGTTTCTTCTTATGCAGGATCTAAAAGGAAACTAACCTTTGCTAAATCAATCTGAAAGAGGTATTATTTTTTTTTGGAAAATTACAATTTCTTTAGAGCCTCTGTTTTCTGGATTACAGATCTTTCTTTGAATTTTTTTGTAATCTTTCCATGTTCTCTTAGATTTTACCTTAATTCAGTAAAGTTAATAAATATGCAACTTTGACTCTTGAAAGAACCAAATCATTCAGTCTGTATCTTAGCTCATCAGGCAAAACTAAACGGTTATATATATATTTTTTCTCTTTAGACTTTGTTTGAGTATAGATTCAAACATCAAATATTGATCCAACAACATCTCCCTTTCATTTCTCTGTTGGTATATGGAGTCAAACTTCCAGATTGTCAATGTTCTTGATGTAATATTAGACTAAATTTGCTAGTTTTATCTTGGCTAATTACTTCTTTAATTGCAAACTTCGTACTTCTCTTAGTACTCTAATTCTACCTAGAGATTCCAATACTTTACCGTGTCTATAAAAGTTCACATACACTTTCATTGAAGAAGAAGATGCTAAGTGGAAACAATGGAAACACCGTACCACCGGTTTTCATGAACGAGAACCAGTTGCAATACCAGACTAACACACAATCCAATCAGCTTCACCTGCTAGGAACCAGTAAGTTTCTTTATGTTTTAATCTCAAACTAAAACAATATTTAACTCGTGAAGTTAAGACTCATGTCTTTCTTTTTTGTGCAGTGGGAGGAGGTGGATGCACTACTGTTGATCCTGTAAACTATTTTGCTAACGATAATCTGGTTCCGATGATCCGGCCTAACAAAAGAGGGAGGGAAGCTGAAAGCATTAATAATCACAACATCCAAAGGCAACAGCAGCTTCAGATGTCTTTGAACTATAATCATAGTGTTCAAGAAGAAGCCCCCAAGGAGAATCTAGTCTCCACTGGTCTTAGACTTGCTTATGATGACGAGGAACGCAACTCTACAGTGACTTCTGCTAGTGGCAGCATTGTAGCTGCTTCTCCATTCTCTCAGTCACTTGATGATAGTCTTCGGATCCACCTCCATAGACAAAAAGATGAGCTTGACCAGTTTTTGAAAATCCAGGTACTGATTTGTCTCTCTGTGTATGTTCTGTTTTATACGCTCTTAAAGGTTCTTTGTTTTTTAATGTGTCTCTGTTTGGTATTTTCAGGCAGCTCAAATGTCGAAAGGAGTGAGAGAAATTAAGCAGAGACAGATTGCGTCTTTTCTAAACACAATAGAGCAAGGAGTGAGCAAGAAGCTTCAAGAGAAAGATCAAGAGATTGAAATCATGAACAAGAAGAATAGAGAGCTCGTGGACAGGATAAAGCAAGTGACAACAGAAGCTCAGAACTGGCATCACAGAGCAAAGTATAATGAGTCTGTGGTTAATGCCTTAAAGAATAATCTGCAACAAGTAATGTCACACAACAACAACAAGAACGTGATTGCTGGTGCAGATCAATTTAAAGAAGGGTTTGGAGATAGTGAGATAGATGATGCAGCTTCATCATACATTGACCCAAACAAGAACAAGAACAAGATGGGGAACCAGAGGATGAGATGCAAAATGTGCAATGCGAAGGAAGTATCAGTGTTGCTTGTGCCGTGTAGGCACTTGAGTTTGTGTAAAGAATGTGATGTGTTCACTGGTGTTTGCCCTGTTTGCAGGTCTTTGAAAACTTCTAGCGTTCAGGTCTTCTTTTCCTGAGTTTTGTGACAAAAAAAAAAGAAATGGAACAAAAGAAAAAGTCCATTACATAAATCTTTCAACTTTTAAAAGCTACTGTTGATATTTTTATATATGAAAAAAAATAGTTTGCGTATGAGATAATTCTGCATATCTTTTTTCTTCTGATCTTAATGGTATTCAAGTAAGATGAAGAAACAATCTATCGGAATGCGTTGTAAGGGTTAATCAACTAATCATCTAATAATCTGTAAACAGTGTCACAAATGTTCAGCATTCCTCTGCCTAACCCTTTGGGATAAGTTAGCTTCCATGTCAACAATTTATTTTGCTGCAGCATTCCTCTGCCTAACCCTTTGGGATAAGTTAGCTTCCATGTCAACAATTTATTTTGCTGCAAAACAGAGAAGCGAGATGGGATTAGTGAAATAACACTACAAATCACTGATATGTTGTATTTTTGACATATTACACACATGCTTCGCATATCACTTTTGTGCTTTCCTGGAGTATTCTTAGTGTGTTTTGAGTTATTTCAGGTGGAGAACGAGTTGGAATGCACCAGAAAGAGCATATGGAAGAAAGAATGCAAAATCCAGAGTTTTCCATCGCAGAGCACCCATGCGGAGCAAACCCCAATTTACTCCCGTTCTTTAATGAGACCTTTGATCTATTTCGGGAAAGATTCAAAAAGCAGCACCTCTCTACCCTAGCAGGCGCCGTTCTTCCAATAAAATGAACCCTGACCGCCTCTACTCTTTCAGATAGAGAGCATAGACTAGATTTTTATACAAGAAACTTGTTGAGACTTTTTTGTTGAAGATTTGATCTAGCTATTTTGTAAGGGCCAAGGCTTCCTCCTCTTGGTTTCTAGAGAAGAAATCCTTGAACCCTCTTTATACTTTGATTTATCTAATGCATTATTCAGTCATGACTTGTGTGTTCTCTTGTGTTATGATCGAGTAGTCGATTTATTAGCCTAGGATTCTAGGGTGTTGATCCATTGAACTGAACATAGATAAGCCCCATTCTCGCCTTTGCTCTCCACTGTTCTTACTGCTGATACTGATTTGATCACTTAGTATTTGATTCCAAGTTTAATCTTTTATCATTAATCATGAATTAGGTTCTAGGCTGCACTTAAAGAGCTTGAATAATTGTTTGGTTCAGTATGGTTAACACCCAATGAGACACCCTAGGTTGACATCCTTATATCCTGAATTTAAAGCTCAATTTTGTTATTTGTTTCTCACGATTTACCTTTCACAACACTTAATCGTTTTAACTTGAATTTGATCCTATAGAAGTAAAGTGTAATATTTGGTCTCTGTGGATTCGATCCTTAAATACTACATCGACATACCATTCGATTTTGGTAGTGTGCACATTAGGTTAATTGGTGTGCGTATACACGTAATATCAATTTGGCGCCATTGCCGGGGACCAAGAATTTACCTTTATTTTTTGGCAATTTTTATAGTCTAAAACATCTAACTTGCTCTATCTTTTTTTTTCTTGCAGTTCATGTTCCAGGTGTATGACCCGTAGAAATACTCGAAGCCACACCTCAAGTCCATCAGTCACGCTCACCAACGAAGAGTTAGCAAGATTATAAAGAACCAACAGACAACAACCGATGCCGACTCACACCCATTGATCACGGCGACCATAATGATTTCACTGCAACATTGGCTCTAATGCAACAGCAAATGCCTTCATCATCATTATACAGCTGCAATGATGTTAAAAGAGCAACACAGGAAACCTTGCAAACTAAGACCAAAACAACCCCTTATAAATTTTATACACACATGCTCTGATATAGTGTTTTACAGTTTCTATAATAAAGAAAGGAACATTGCTTAAAGGTAGTCGTAGCACAATACTGCTATAGTGGCTAGTGACTAATGAGGAACACTTGTGACTACTCTTTTTTAAAATTGCATCAGTCCTCATAAACTGCGAGAAGCAAGTTGAAGATTTGCTGTTCATTCTCAGTAAGAACAATTCGTTCTCTCAGAAACAACGCTAGATATGGCATAGTGTCGTCGGACAAATCAATGAGATTGAAAATCCTTTTATAGGTTTCGGTATATTAATGGATCGGCCCTTTCCTTCTATTCTCTTATTAAATAAGCCCATATTTTATGAGCTTATTTTTCACTTATGTATTTCTGTCCTGGGCTTTTCCTTCTCTATAAATTATTTGTAGGCCTGCTGTAGCAAAAATATATTCTCCCTCATGGTAATGGTTATCATAGTGCAGTGTAAATGCAGAGGTTCCAACTATCGCACATTACATCAAATCATCAGAGCTTCACTATCACCCGCGTTCTCAGTGAGGGTGACCGTGAGCCATGCCCTGATTTTTTTTTTTTTTGTTGATGATGTAAGTTTTACATATTTATATGTCAGTATTGCAATGTATAAGATTTAACATGAAATTGTTTGTCAGGGTGGTGATGATGATAAAGACGATGCCAACTAAGATGATGGCTCTGTAAGTGGTAAGATGGAAACTGGTGGAGGTAGCAAGAGTGGAGGAACTGTTACAGTGAAGAGGCCGGCGAAGAAGGCACGTAATGCATAGTGCGAGTGGAAATGCATTTTCTCCTTTTTAATAATAATGAAGTTGTTTCCCTCTTGAACAATTATGCATTTTGGTATTTGATCTTTCTTGACAATAGAAGTTTTTTTCTTAATGGACAAGTATGCGTTTTGGCATTTCATCTTTTGGCGATCAAGTTGATACTTTATGAGCAAGTATAAGCATGCAGTTTTATAGTATAAGATAAAAAAATGGAAGATTTGGTCTTATGTTGATTGCGGGTGGTATTTAGAACTAGAAAAAGATAGAGGAAGTCAAAAGCGCACCAGGTAAGAAATGTTGACTTCATTTCTGTGAACTGGATTATCGGTTCAACAAATCTCCGGTTTAACAGAAAAGTGTGCTGGTTCGGGTATTGACTTTCTACTTTATTCAGTTCTTGGACTATTTTGGCTTATTTGCAGTTTACTATGCTATCTTCTTATTTTTTGGCTTTTCCTAATTAAAGCGATTGTCTTTCTATTAATCTTATACAAAATTCATATGACCTTTGAGCTTATGTTGTTTTCCTAATATTTTGTGCCTATATAGTTGTTCTCACTGAAAGAGTCCGCTTTGGATTTGTATTTTGATGACTATAAGGTTTGTTTTCTTTGTTAACCTAAGTATTGCTGCTCGAAAAAGTCAAATTTATTTTGCTTATCACATCGTTTGATCTACTGAAAACACACATTTGTTATTTACTCTATATCCCAAATTAAAAAAAAATTATCAAAACATATGTCACAGTGTAGGTTTACCAAAATTGGAAATACGGTTCTTCTAAAAGATACATTTTTTATAAACATCTGGATCTTATTACCTTTGTTTTCATACTCTTAGTCCCTGTGTTTAGCAAATTTATATAGTGTTCCATGTTTTCTTAAACATAATCAGAATATACATACAACGATTGGATTCAATCCAAGGAGAATGCTACTGTAATTTTAAACGTTATATAGTGGAGGATGATTTATATTTAACAATTTTTTTTTCAAACCTCCACCCAATACATAATAATATAATTATCATAGATAAAGTCTTAAAATCGTTTATATATATAGAATTTTTTATAAAATAAATATTAATAATAACTACTATTAATATTTAATTATATGATGAAACATGTTATTACTGATATTTTTATGATTATAATTTTACGGATTATCCTAATAAACAGACAAAATATTTATCAAATATAAAATTAATTTAACAAAATATAAAACATAATAAGTTATGCTTGGGAATTCAAGTACCTATTGGGATACGGGTCGAATATTTTGAATCAAAGCTAATTTATATCACATCATAGGTGTCATAATATTAAGTAGACATGTTTGTAAGTATGTATCAGATTCAAATATAACACGTCGGTTTGGTTCTAATTTGTACACATCCTAAAACCGATAAAGTAACCATATATCATTCGGATTCGAGTTATTTTGGTTTGGCAATCTAAAATCTAAAACCAAAAATGCGGTCATATAAAATTTTCACCGATAGATTATCATGCATTTCTAAAAAGACTATGTTTGATGAAATTAAAGAACTAAACAAGTTTCCCACATTTCTACATGTATAGAAAATGTGATTATATAAAGTTTGCATCAAACATAAACTCGCGCTTGGAAAGCGCGGGTCAAAATCTAGTTAAATTTATAAGAACACTTTGTCAAAACTATTATAAGTGTTTTGAAGAATGTTAGTTATTGATATTATTAACAGTTATGGTTGTCTCTTGGTCTCTGTTTATTTTTGTGGTTGTGAGATGCCAAACCTAGCCAAACCTACATCGAGATCAGCTACAGCCAAATATGGCATCTACGTCAATGATTCATACAGATAGGAACAAACCACATATTTATCTACATGACCTCACTGCACAGATTAGTTGCAAACAATGGTGCAGCTCTTGACATACTCAACAGGCATATTGTAAGTTTATAATTGGCTAAGTTACAAAATTTGTAACTACATATTAACAAAAATTATGAAATTTGAAAATTTTGAATCAAAAATTAGCTGTAATTCAAATTTATAAAATTTAACTAATATATTATATTATAAATAAAATTTTCTTAATATTTTGAACAAAAAAACAATAAAATAATTAAAAGAAATTTTATACTCCAATTCTTTTTTGAAAAATGTAATATATCGTTATCTAAACGTTATTGTAATTTTCAAATACATTTACAAATAAACTTTAAATTGTTTTTTGTTGAAATATATCAAATCCCGCGCGAAGCGCGGGGTTCCCCTAGTTTACTATAAAATACCTTTATTTTTTAAACATTTCAATATATTTTGATTATATTTAGTTAAATTATATCGAAAACCATGTAAAAATTCTTTGAAACATAAAAACATACACCAAATAAGATAATAAAACAATATAAAAGTCAAATTTTTAATTTTAAATAATGTACATATGCTAAAATCAAATATTTTTTATTTATAAATAAAAATGGAAAAAAAATCGAAATAAGAAAAATTTTGTAAATTAATATCAATTAATAAAATTTCAAAGTC